GTTCCATCGATCGTGTTTTCTCGTTCGGTCGAACGCGGTAATTGGTCGTGGTTGACCAGTTGACTGGTCAAACATTGACTTTTAAAAAACAGAAAAAACACACGAAAAGATCGAAAAAAGTAGCGCATTATAAAAAGGACATGAATTTCAAAAGGTTCACAAATTTAAAAAACAGTTCGTCGAATTTGGAAAAGTTCATCGGATTTGAAAAAAGGTTCATCAGATTTGAAAAAAGTTCATCGGATTTGAAAAAAGTTCATCGGATTTGAAAAAAAGTTCACCGCATTTGAAAAAAGTTCATTGAATTTGAAAATAAGTTCATCGCATTTGAAAAAAGTTCATCGAATTGGAAAAAAGTTCACCATATTTGAAAAAAGTTCATCAGATTTGAAAAAAAGTTCATCGCATTCAAAAAAAAGTTCATAAAATTAGAAAAAAGTTCATCGAATTTGAAAAAAAGATCATCACATTTGAAAAAAGTTCATCGGATTTGAAAAAAAAATCACCGCATTCAAAAAAGATTCATAAAAATTGAAAAAGTTCATCACATTTGAAAAAAGTTCATTGGATTTGAAAAAAAGTTCATCAAATTTCAAAAAAGGTTCACGAATTCGAAACGCAAAATCATGTATTATAAAAAAAGTTTAGCAATAAAAAAGTAAAATGGAAATGAATAAAAATGAAAAAAGGAACAAAACCGTTCCAGCAAGAAAAGAGAACAAAAGAAGTAAAAAGCTATAACTAGACATGTAAAAGGCTGGTAGTTGGTTGGTTACGGTAGCGACCGTTTAACCTGGTGATCCTTTGTTCGAGCCACGACATGTACATGTGTTGTTTTTTGTTTCTTTAAAACAGAAAAAAAAATTGAACGTGGGCCGGCCCAGCGCGGACAAGGGGGTGTGCGCCCTGTACCGCTAAGCCTATAACGGGCGCAGCGGGCGCCGTTTAGGAATTGCCCGTGGCATCGTCCCTTGTGCGATGGGGCATGTATTTGCCGGGGCAAATAGGGAGACCCGTTAAGGAGCTCCCGTAGAAGGGCACCACGCGTGCCGCCACGACACGACCCATTCATAAACGGGCTACTATGGGCTGTGCCGTACCAGGTACGTTAATGGGTCAGCCCGAGCTATGCTGGCCCATTTGGCCAGG